TCCAATCCAAGTCCTCTTTTATAATTTTCTAAAAGGTTCTTTGGTTTCTCTTCAAAATGTGTTCACATTCAATGAATCTTCCAAGATTTGCCTCCTTTCAAAAGCCATTTGAATGTATTTTTGTGTTCATTAACCATATCCCAAGTTCATGAAGAGTTGCTTCAAACACCCCTTCAAAAATTCTTCCAGATTCATTGAATCATCAAGTAACTATCACTGACGCTTAAGTGAGAGGTATGTGGCTCTTAGGCGTGGCTTTCTCGGTTTTCTTGGAGCTTAAGCACCTCTCCTGGGCGCTTAGGTGCCAAAGTTTTTTTGTACACCTTCTTCATTTTTGCTACAAATTTGATTCTGTTTCACTCCTTTCACCATTTCCATCCATTTTATTGTACCTGAAAGAGAAACACAAAAATACCTTGCATTAAAGCGCAAATATCCTCAAAAGTAGGTATAAAAATGTGTACGAAAATGCTATATATTTTAGGTGTATCAAAATCCCCCAAATTAAAAATGTTACTTGTCCTCAAGCGACACTCCAATCTTTCAAAACCAAAATAAGTAGCCAAAATAAGTAGATCTCCAATCTTTCAAAACCAAAATAAGTAGATTATGTAAATGAGTTTCTTTAGGATATTCTAAAATTTTGATCTAGAAATATAGTAGTCCAATTTAGAATAAAACTTTAGAAAATGAGATCAACTTAGAGTTTAAAAATCTTTAATGTAAGGAAATCTAAAAATATGATTTCCTATCTAGTTCATAAATACTTGTAAATTCTCCAAATATAGAGTTTAGGCATTCTATCTTCTCCACTTAAATTTTTTTGTTAAGAATAATTGTACTTACTATATTATATCCTTGAGCTTAAGAGTTTCTCAATTCTTATACTTTAAATTCTTATACTTTAAAAATTAAAAAGATCATATGTGGAACCAATTTTTGATTAGACACTAATTCTCAAGCTTCTCCTCCCTTTGTCAACTTTCTTTTCTTTTTTTCTTTTCTTTTCAGGAGAAGATTACTATATATGGATACGTCTTTAATCATTTTGAATTCCACTCCTCATTTCCTAAAGCAAAGTTTTGATATATTCCTTACTTAAAAATATTATAATAGTTTTGATAATTATTTTTAACAAAATAATTTTAAGTATTGAAAATAAATGTCAAAGCCTTCTATTTTTTTCAAAATAAGATTTTCTATTACTAAAGATAATTACACAATATTTATCATTTCTATACTAAAAATTTTTAACTTTAAGTTTTTCTTCATTACTATAGGTTTCAACTAAATTTTCTTACTCATTTCTATATTCAAAAACTTAATTCCCTAATATAACTTCATATACATAATCATTTTTTTCAACTCAAAATCAACTTTATTTGTAGCACATTTGAGAACAAATAAAATTCAAGTTTTACAAATTATTTTTCATCCCCCAAACTTAAATTTTTAATAAGATAAAACATTTGAGCATCATATTTATATAGAGGTAGGAACGAAAACTAAAAATAACATGCTTACAGGAATTTTTATACCCTAAATATACAAGTACTAAAATTAAAAACAGAAGTAAAAATTAATTGATCAAATTTTAACTTATCTTAACATATTGAGATTCATGAGATTCATTATACTTCTATGCAGTGGATGATAACATAAAAGCAAATAAGCACACTAACAAAAATTCACAACTACAACATAAAGAAAATACATGGTAGTGAATTGAAGTTTTAAACAAAAAGTTCTTTAGTTAAAGTTAGTAATATCTTAAACCTTCCTAATATTCAGAATTAAGTTCAACACAAACTAACAAAATATACTAGAAAACACATTTAACATAATTACTACCACAAAAATGAAATATAAGCACTCACAACAACATAAATACATCACAACAGTATCTAACAAAACACAAACAATAGTAGCAGTCTAAACAAGTACAGCATAAAACAAAGTAACAATTCAATATAACTACACCACATAAAGATCAAAATTTAAAACTAAACTATTTAAATTAATCCTCCTCATCATCATCATCACGGTTCCAAAAAGTAGTAGGCTCATATGAAAAGTATTGTGGATATGAAGGGAAAAACCACACTTTGGTCGCCCCTGATAAGGTTTTCCAAAGATGAGTGAAATTCTTCTTCATAGTCACTGTGTCTCCTCATATAACCATCCATATGATCTACAAAGTTCTCCAAATTTAGTACCTTATCCACATTATAACTGATTTTTATCTAACATCCTTTGCAATAATCTTCATTTTGTCAATGCACGTGAAGTAGAAGCATGAGATGTAGAAGCACCTGAACTTATAGAGAATCCTCCTCTTCAGCAAAATATCGAATGTTGTGAATAAAATTTCAAATTAATGCTTGTGATAGGCATTAAAGGTTGTAAAATCTCCTCCCAACTATTAAATCTAACACCAGCTTGCTCACATAAGGAAAAGATTAAGGATTTGAATCCCAAACCTATAGTAGTGACAGTTGTAGCAGAATTGATGTTCGTCTGATAGATCAACGATCCAATATTGATCAGCTTGAACTGCTGAATGCAATAGTTCAAAGTCGCTCTATCTATTGTAACTTCACTGAGGTGATTGGTTGGTAGTAGACGAGCTGAAATAAAATAGTGTCACGCTTTTGAACTGTTGAATGCAATAGTTCAAAGTAGCTCTATCTCATGTTACTGCTGAATGCAATAGTTCAATGTTGCCCAAATCCGCTCAACATGCATGCATGCATGCATGCATATATATATATGTGTATATATATATAGATCACACCCAACTTTATTATAAAAAAAGAAAGCATAAAATAAATAAATAAATACAACTTGAAAATTAACTTAACTACAAAATAAACTTCATTTAAAAGTAACTTAAAACTTTGAAATGACAATCATTTTACATGCAAAATAAAACATTTTTTACATAAAAAATAACACAATACAAATCACGAGGACATTCAACGGATCTCACTGTGCAGAAATTGAAGGATTGCTTCGGGAGTCATAAGATGAGACGCCAAATGTCATTCCGTTTGGTCGAAACCATGAGTCTACCAAATGATAGAACAAGTGACACCATATCCGAGAGGCTTAAAACTAAAACTAGCACCCTTAAATGATTTTGGGTTTCTTCACAAAATTGGCTGAAGGGCACCCCATTTTCTCTCCAATCCTATCATAACGCCCCTTGTTCAACGAGAGATGTTCGTCAGATTACGCTTGTGATACAGCCTCTGCCTAGTGGTCCATGTTCACCCTAACGACATATGTGCATCTACCGAAGATTCTTCCAAGAAGGCCGACGAAAGGCCTACTATCCACCGAAGGACTGATCGTCGACCGGACGATTTTTAGACTACCGAATGACAACGACAACAACAGGTCATTAAGTGTTTTCCATCTTAGTAGTGACAATATGGAATTGTGTCAACGTCAGTTATGAATTCTTATGTCAATTACAAACATGAAGAGGCGTATTAATTACTTTAAATGTTCCTATGAAAATATTAATAAATATGTAAGTCATTAGAGACTCTCTAAGATTATATATAGAGGTCATTTCTTCAAAAACGGATTACTGAACTTATCATTTGAGAACTCGTTTTAATGTGAGTTATGTTTCTTTCTTCTTCTTTCTCAATTCCTCTCATCTTCCCAACATTCTATTCCCTGCCTGTGATCCACAAAGTACTTTCGGACTCCACACACTTATTTTTTATATAATTTTATATATTTATTTAATAATCAAATCATTTTTATTTAAAAAATTAAAATGCTGCGTTCAGTTTATATCTAATGATGACATCTAAAAGATGTTTTAAAAAGAAGCTTTATATTCTCGTGCGATTGGAACAGAAGTCCACCGCAATTTCAAATAAATATTATATCTTCATTTAAATTTCGCTGAAATGCAAAGCTGTCCCCAAAGTCAAAGCTCACATTCCCTTTCAGGTTTTGACCCGACCTTCGCCAGTTTCCGCGCACTTTCATGGGACCCGTAGCTGGCGTTTACCAAAAGTCCGAAAGCGACAAAATATACTTTTTTTTTTCCGTTAGCGCCAAATAAAAAACCCGCTCCCGGAGAATACCTATCTGGGGTTAAAATGTAAACAATTATTAACTAATTGTTGAATCTAGATAAGAGAGTGAAAAAAAAAAACAGAACTCTAAAAACATGTATTGCCAGAATTAGCGAGCACTTGACGTGTATGATTAAGCTTTACATATAATATTGCATATATTAAGATGTGCATATCGAATTATAATTTTAACCCTCTAATTTTAGATTTGGTTAATGTTGATTACATTACTTTTTGGATGCCCATGAAGAAGATAAAAGTACATAAAAATGTATAATAATGTAGCACATTTTGTAGCTTTACTAGACACCGATTTACCGAGCAGGTGAGCTATTGTTTTGTGTAACAGCCATATCTTAATTTATGAGTATATGTGTAATCGACAGTTATGACCGAGCTGCGAATTTGTGAGCATCGTGGCTAATTGCAGTTCAGCTCAGCTCGTAAGGAAAACAAATTAGTTATATTTAATTGTTAATATTTATTGAGCTAAACACAAGTTGTTCGTAAATATAAAATCCACTTAAGAATAAATTATTGATTATAAATATAAACGTTATCAGGTTTATATAAATAAAACTATTTTATGTATATACAAAAGTTTCATCTCTCCGAAAAATCAGAATACAAACATTTTCAAAAATAACTTAGATAATAATTTTCTTATCTTATTTAGCTTATCCTCAAAAATAAAACATTTCCTTCCTCTCTTTTAATGTAAATAAAATACTACTAACAAATATAAGTTATTTATTGAGCAAAATAAAAAATCCGACAATATCTCTTAGTCAAATTAATTGGTCAAATTTTGAAGTCTTTGCGTCCTCCAAATATTAGCTTTTGTATCCTATAAATACGCAGTGACATTCTTTATTTACTACTTTATATCACAAATACCAACAAACCTATATCCTTTACGCTCCAGCTCATGCTAATCGCCCCAACCTTGCCGGGCCAATCCCGGCTATCCTTCCCAGCCCCTTCTCGCCTCCACGACCCCAGCCATATAACTCTCCCTCAATCCCTCAAAATCACCAACTCAGCTGCTTCCGCTTCCGCTTCCATCGACACACAAACCCACATCTCCAATCTCGACCGCATTCTCCAAAAAACCTCCCGACCAACACCTTCCCCCATCCCCGCCGTCATTACCAACCACAACCAAACCAATCTCGCCGCCACCCCCGCCTCCAACCTCTTCAATTTGCTCAACATATCAAACATCTTCCCGTCCCTTCGCATCGATGAAGCCTTCGATAAGTACTCCCCACGCAGCCTTACCCGCCTCCACCGCCTTCTCTCAGACTCCCCTCGCTCCTCCCCAAAATCGTCCATTGCTTCTCATTGGCGCCTTCTACATGGAGCCGAGAACTGGTCCGGCCTCCTCGACCCCCTAGATGAAAACCTCCGGCGCGAACTCGTCCGATATGGAGAATTCATCCAAGCGGCCTACACCGCCTTCTTCTCCAATCCCGACTCTCCCCGCCATGTCGTGCTTCTCGGTCTTTCCCCCCCCAGCTACCGCGTCACCCGTAGCCTCTTCGCCACCTCCTCCGTCGAACTCCCGCGGTGGCTGGATGCCGCGGCCGCCTCCGCGTTGCCTTCATGGATGACACAACCTTCTAGTATGATTGGTTTCGTGGCTGTCTGTGATGGCACTCGAGAGCTAGCTCGAATGGGCCGTCGCGACATCGTTGTTTCGCTACGTGGCACGGCAACAGCTCTCGAGTGGGCGGAGAACTTCCGGTCGGGGCTCCAGCCCATTTCAGATTCAACCGCCGCCAAGGTCTCGTCCGGATTTTATAGCCTCTACAAAACGGAAGGCTCAAAAATCCCGAGCCTGTCATCTGCTGTCGTTGAGGAGGTGCTCTGATTACTAATTGCTTCTGTTTATGCCTAGTACATTTTTTTTCTTAGTTTCTAATTTGATATGAAAAGTAACATAGTCGATTGAAAAATCAACATATTTTTAATCCGTACTTTATGTAATATATTTAATATAATAATATTAAATGAGCAGAATGGTCGATTGATATTCCATTGTAATTGGCATATAAAGGTTAAAAGAAGATAATTTCTTTTAACGTTATGTCCTGAAAATTAGAAGCAACACTTATTTTTTCCTTAGCACTGCAACTTTCATTTTTATCTAAAATTTCTTTTTCATATTTTCACTTTTGTTGGATTAAAACCAAAGAAGCCTTAGAACTACTTCATAAAAAAATATTTTTTACTCTAAAACATAGGCTACAAATATTGAATACTTCTCAACGAAGTAAGCAATTTTAGAAGTTAATGGAAGTACAAAGAGAAGTTAAGCCTCATCAATCGCCTATTCACAATTTAATATATAATTTAAAGATGAATTAACATAATTCACATTGATCCGTTACTTCAACCTTAAGTAATCGATTACAATGAATAGCCTTATCACCATCAGTGTCAAAATCAAAATCAGCTTCTAATTTCGAGCTACATCTACTTATCGAAATTTGATTGTGGGGCTAAAGTTTATAACTTTCCAAAATACGTAGATTAGGATCCGAATTTTGTTAGGGCATATACATGTATATAAAACACAACAATCTTTAAACATATTAAAATATAATTAATACGATAAATTATACTTTATCACATACATACCTTAATATAATTTAAATATTCGAATGATTAAATATTTGATGTATAAATAGATTTAATTCTTTTATATGCATGTAAATCACCATTTATATTTTTCAAAAAAATTTCTCCAAAATTTTGATTTACCTGTAATCATCAAACAAATTTTAATTTGATAAATTTAACAGGTGCGCCGACTTGTGGAGAAGTACAAAGGAGAGGAGCTCAGCATTACCATAACTGGCCACAGTCTTGGCGCCGCGCTCGCTCAGCTCGTTGCCGACGAGATCTCGTCGGAGATTGAGGCTGCGCCGCCGATCGCGGTGGTCTCGTTTGGTGGGCCGCGGGTCGGCAATCGGGCCTTCGCAGAAAGATTGGAAGAAAAGGGCGTTAAGGTGCTGCGGATAGTCAACGCAAACGACGTCGTGCCGCGGGTACCCGGAGTGCTGCCACGCGTGTGGGATGAAGGGTACTCGCACGTGGGAGTTGAGCTAAAGGTTGATAACCGGGTTTCGCCGTATCTTCGGCCCGATGCGGACCCGGCTTGCTGCCACGATTTGGAAGCGTATTTGCACTTGGTGGATGGGTTTATGGGGACAGGGTGTCCGTTTCGGGTGAATGCAAAAAGGAGCCTGGCCCGGCTGCTGAGTCAGCAGCGGCCTAATATGAAGAAGATCTATGTGACCCGGGCAAGGGCGGTTCAGTTAGAAGCGGTTAGTTCGGGCGGGCGAGCAGGCTGAAGGAGTCCACCGGGTTGCCTTGAATGCAGATGTGGTCGGCTTGATGGGTTTTAAATGTTTATTTTATTTCAACAATAATTAGTTTATTGATTTATTTTAAAATCGGCGAGCAATAATAGGCTTGTGTATTTGAGATGGCAAGCTTTGGGTTTCCCACTTGCTCATGTTCTGTAAATGAAATATGTAAGTTAATTTTTATGTTTTTATAATGCATCTAAACTTCTTATTTTTTGGCACGTTTGGTGATTTTGCCAAATTTTGCATTGTGTTATGTTGTTTTTTAATTATGCTATGTTGTGCGTTGTGAGTCCCAAAATAAAATGTTACTTCAAAAGATTTGTACGCCTCTCTTCTTTCTGAGTTTAGGTTGGTCTGCACTCTGCACCTAACATGCAGCTGAAGATCAAAATATGATTAAAATATTCCTTGAGTTAAATAAGGTACAACGTGATAATTTATTTTGACCAACTCGGCAAATCAACTTGACAAATTATTAGTGTGAGCAAATAGTTCAACAAATCAATTTGATAGGCTAACCAAAATAACTTCATCAACTCGTCACGTACCCATATTACTTTATGCAACTCAATGCGCAATATGTTTAGCTATATCATTGCATTTATTTTACTATATTTTCTTTTTTTGAGGTCATCTATATAACGACACTAGGGCCGGTTTAAATCTATAAATAGAAGAGGCAACATGAGGGGATAGGAGCTTCTCTTATCACACTATTTTTTTAAGCCTTTTAGCTAGGTGGTGAGAGATCAGAGTTGTAAATGAAGAATATGCCAAATCTAATCTCGAGAGGGACCTAACGGTCCAGAAAAAAAGAGTATGATGAAGGTGTGCCCACTTCCACATCGTGAAGCCTACTTGTCCTACCTAGTGAAGCACTAAGGCTAAAATAACAAAGCCATGAGGAGAACAAAAGGATGACTGAACGACCCAAACTTGAACCTTTCAACCAGTGCAAGGCGAAAGAACATCCGAGCCCAAAGTTACAGGAAAGCCAATAGGATGCATTAGCCAACCCTCCTTTGAAACCAATCCAAGGGAAGATACGGTTCCACAATATACTCGATCAACCAATGGACGCCCTAGAAGTTCTTTATTAGTGAAAAACAACCAACAACAGTGTTTTGTCTGCTGACTGACTCATACTGACCAAGCTCAATCGACCGAATTAATCCTGCTAACCCGAAGTCGATTAAGGTCAACCAAGTTAGAAAGTAACCGGACACGCTTACGCATGTAGAATATGAGAGATACCCCAATATGAACCATTTTAAAGATGAAGAGAAAAAAAATATAATATCATCATTTTGTACCATCGTTTTATAATTAGGGGAATCATTTTATAAATAATACATAGTTGATTATGATAGATTACTATTCACTCTCTTTCTGTCTCTCTCTCTTCCCCCTTAGTTTTTCTCTATTCATTAGGTGTGATTCATAGATAAATCAAGATTCAGCATCCAAAAAAGTGCAATGAGTATGAATTTGCCACCAAAAAGAAGACGGGTAGCTTTAGGAGACGAAACTCAATATATAAGCACCGACAACATGGAGTGCCAGAGAATTCATTACTTAGTTAATCCAGAAGTTGAAGGAACAAATGTTGAATGTCATCCGAGGCGCGCTCACCCTGTGAAGAGAATAATAGCCTCAAAAGAAAGGGTTGCCCAATAACAGAAGAGTCCCTTTGTCCTTGGAAGGGAAAGGCAACTCCATGTATTTTGATAGTGTTGGGTCAGTATCGATCGATTGACATCAGATAAGACAAACGAAGGTGCCTCCATAACCTAAGAGTGTGTTTTCTAAGCAAATCTCTATGGTCAAGCCATGAAAATGATTCAAGATCCCGACATTGGAGCCCTACAAAAGGCAGACTGCTCCGATCAACCAGAGAGGTAGCCAAGGTGACGAAACTCGGAACTAAAGGATCAAGAAGCTGGATGGATCCATACATTCTATACTTCTAGACTAGAAAAGTCTTAAAAGAAGTAACCTACCCGAAGTATTTATTGTTTTAGGTAGCTCAATCACTTATGATCGAGAAAAAAACATTTTCGAAAGTTAGTCACCTCACTTTGTTTGAGGTGCATCAAACAAGATGAGGCAGAGAATTTCATTCAAGAGCTACATTCAGAGGAATGCGGAGGTCACTCTAGGGGGAAGACTCTGACACATTGAGTATAGTGACAAGGATATTTTTGGTCGACACATTAAGTGGATGTTGAGGGATTCTTTAGGAAGTGTGAACAGTATCAAAATTATACACCCCTACAACATCAGTCGGCTCAGCAAAATGTTGACCATTAACATTCCATGGCATATCGATGTCTGGGGATTGAATATTCTCAAGCACATTACCTCGTCACAAGGCCAACAAAAATTTTTACTTGTTATCGTAGATTACTTCACCACAGGGATTACGGTCAAGATGCTCAATTGGATCACCATAAATATCATTGGAACCTCATTTAGACTGTCTAATTTGTCAGTATGGGCAACCACTCGTAATCATCATAGTCAAATAAACCCAACCTTTTGATCAAGGGGTAAAGGATTTTTGTCGAAGTCAGAAGACCAGTTTGAATTTCATGCCCGTCCATCATCACTAAAAGAATGGGCATGCCAAAGGAGACAATAAGATCACCCTAAACCTATTAATAAAAAAAGAGTTGAAGAACCTAAGATAACCAATTCAAACAACTTCATGGCAGCTGGGTGAACCCCATAAATGTTATCACTCGAGATGAAGGTGGTTTTGCTTATGTAACATAGCCATCACAGTTAGAGAGTGATGAAAACATCAACATTCAATGAAGTGGACTTGGCTGTGTGGCGGGAAGCAAATAATGAATAAGTGTCACTCGCGTCCGACCTTGTGGAGGAAAATTTGTAGACTCAGCCTTAGACAAAAAGGGGTGAAAAGGCGGACAACTCGTACTACAATAAAAACATTCGAGTTGGACTTTAATCACCAGAAACTTCGTGCTAGAGAAAGTCAACCCAGCCGCATATGGACATGCTGTGGGAAAGCTTGATTAGATAAGGACTGAGTCATTCATCTTTGTTAGGTGAGTCACCACGGGAGCATTTAAGCTAAAGACTTGTAACGGAAAGAGGTGTCCTAGACTTGTAGTTGAGACAATTTGAAGATAATCTGTCTTTAGGGGAAAAAATCTTGTATCTCGACAATGAAAATATGGTATCACTCCTACATGTATGTTTTTATTGTCAAATTCATAAAATATGACTATGTAAAATTTTTCTTATTATGCACATGATTAAGGGTGGTCGACACTTGAGGAACTTGAGAAGTTCATGCAATGGATTGTTTAATCTAGCCGAAAAATTGAAGATAATCTATCCTTAGGAAAACAAATATTGTATCTTGACATGCTATCACTCCTAAATTTTAATTTTTATTTTTATTTTACATATTTACTCCTCTTGACTTTTAAAACATTAAATTAAAAAAAGACATTAAACCAATAAAGTTTGTTGGAATTTAAGTTCGCATAATTAACAATCACCTAATGAAGAATTCCGTTAACTCATAATCAGTTAAGGATGGTAAATTTGTAATTTTTCTCAAAATTGTAAATTTACACTTCTATACTTTTAACTTATTAGTTTGAACAAGCAAATTCTAAAACTTGGAAAATCGAATCTTAAATGATGAATAAAATTTTCAAAATTTTAAAAGTAATTAGTAGTATATTTGTAAGGTTTTCAAAGTTACAAATATAACCCTATTACTTTCTAACTACCAAAATGAAGCATGATTTGAAATCACTAATTAATATTCAAACAATAAATAAATCTTAAAATCTAATGAGCTTAAAAGTGAGTTTGGATATACTTGTAAATTTTCTCAAATTTACAAAAAAAAAAAAAAGGTCCTTTTTACTATTTACCTTAGTAAATGAAATAATAAAAATGGTAAATCTAAACTAATTGAATCAAAACAATTTATTAGTGGGAAAAGAACAAATAAAAGTCATTTTTTACTTGAAATAAAATGGTTTGAATTAAAAGCATAAATTTAGAAATATACCCTTCCCTACTAAAATTTCAATAAAATTCTCAAGAAAATTCAAAATTGAATAAGAGCTTCACCAATAAATCAACTGAATAAAGAACAAATCAAACTTTCCATTTAATAGTTTTTAATAATTTCCAAAGAACAAATCCGTTAATAAATTAAATAAATTTTTGGAAATTCAAAATGAATTTAGAATAACTTAAAATATGTTGGTGTTGTTTGGCATTTTATCTAAATATCTTTAAAAAATTTCAAAAATTTTAGAAGTCATTTTCATTTATTATGAGTTTTTAATTAAAAATACATAAAAAATTTTAATATTTCTAATAAGACGAAAAAAAATATCAAATTTTTGCAGAGAACTTTTGAACTCAATAGCAAACTAAGGAAATAATTTTAAATAAAATTGAATTCATTTAATCAAAATAATCAAAACCCTAAAAATCATAAAATTGAAATTAATTCTATTTCTAAGAATTCATAAAATCTTAAACAATCATAAAAAAAATTATATGATTGAACTTATAAGATCTATAATCACATGTCTAAGTGATTTATAGTATTTTAAATGTATTATTAATATTAAATTTTAGTTAATGAAAATTGAAACCAACATATAAAATTTAGAAAAATTGAACAATAAGACATTTTTGGGCTCTTTTCACTTTCCCACTTACTACCTTTAGATGCCATACAACACTAGTCATAGTTTTTGGATTAGGTCATGGTGAGATCAATTTAGGTTTGTTTTTGGTCTGTGTTTGCTATTTTTTGTAAGTCGCTTGTTAAAAATTTTTAGTTAGGGCATTTTTCTTTGCTAGAATAAATGTTTAGGACGACTAAATAGTTTTATTTCTATTAATTGTGCATTCATTTATTAGCTAACTTTGGGTGCTCTAGTTTCTTTGCATATTTACAGGCTTCCATAGTAAGCCTAGAGTGTGCACACTTTATTGTAAAGTTGCTATAATAACCTCGGGTGTTGTAGAGAATCTCGGATGTTGTAGTAAACCTAGGTTGTTATAGTAAAAGTAGGTTTCT